CCTTGGGCACTGTATCTCAGCCCTACAAGTAATATTTGCTATTCTTCTATAATTTAGAATTCTCCTTACTTCTTACTAGCTACTCCCTCATTACTGCAATCCGCTGTTATAGTTAATAATTCTTTATATTAAACTTTTCCTATTCAAATTGCTGTGTGGTTTCTCTCTCCTAATGGACCCTGTCTGATACATACCCAAAGAATATTAGAATAATCTGTATTCTTTAGGAGTATGGAAAAGTAAATACGATAAGCCATCTCTTTGTGGAATGGATTAGCATTGGTACAAGGCACCTTATCTAGGCCCGGCTATTAGATGAACAAAAACTTTTGAGAGGGTGCCTGGGTGGCTGAGTTGGTCTGGGATTGAGCCCTGCATCAGGCTCCCTGCTCCGTGGGGATCCTGCTTCTCCCTCTCTCTCTGCCACTCCCCCTGCTTGTGCACTCTCTCTCTCTCTCTCAAATAAATAAATAAATAAATAAATAAAATCTTAAAAAAAACTTTTGAGAATCTGATGCTAGATTGAAAGATGATATGATGTTATGTACTATTTTTAACTACATATTGTTTTAAGGACCATTTTTAAAATATTTTACTTGATTTCACTGAGAATTTCTTATATATGAACTGTAATAAAGCAAACCACAAAGGTCTAGACTCAAAAGTAATTTGTTGACCTTGAAAAGATGTTGCAAAATAACACTATGATGTAAATTGGTAGATTATTAATGCTAGGATAATAATGATACCCATCACTTCCTGAGGACTCAGAAAGTCCTTAGCACTTTACATTAATTTGTTGAATCCCCATAGCAATAAAGGGGGATACTATTATTACCCCCGTTTTACCAGTGGGAAAACAAAGCCTTGGATAGGTTAAGGAACTGGCCTGACATGCTATGTGTGATAAGTTTCAGAGCCAGAATTTGAACCTAGATTTTCCTGTGAACCCTGGTTCTTAACCACTGCCCTCTGCTTCTAGAACACTACCACTGAAACCGATAGCAAGTTACCTGGGAGAACAAACACAAAACCTTGTTTTTGTTGTTTTCATAAATATCTAGGAAAACAATAACAACAACAACTCTGAAGTATCCCTAGAATGTCCACCACACCCTGCCCTGAGCTATTTCTGAGACAGACAATCTTGTCCCCAACAAGATATGGACAAAACTGGACAGACACTGGTGACCCAGTCCCCAGAACCAAAGTGTTAACCATGTATCCAAAACCTAGCAGCCTTCATTCTGAGCCGAAGTGAAGGCAGATGAAGTATTAACAGCAGTTCTAGCAGCACGAAATGAAATATGAGATCCTGTATCAGAAATTATTAGTAACCTGTTAAAAGAAATGCTGAAAAATGGCAGTTACCAAATTAAAACTGGGAAACAGAGCCCAAATGGGAAATTTCGGAAAGTTTGGAGGAAAATAAATGACAGATTGTCCTCTTGGCTCTTATTACTATGCCATCCTAAATCCTACTTGGCAATATGTGGTGGAGGTAGAATAAGAACTGCATTACTGAGATTGATTAGAAGAGTAGCTGGAACTTGGTAGCATTTAGTGTTATCGAAACTGAAGGGTCTGGGGACTCTTATTATGAAAGGCTTCCTCTCGTTTGTGAATTGGCCCCTTTGCTCCACTTTTGGATGGCTGGCTTCCTCCATGCCGAGCTACACTGAATGCTCTACATGGGAAAGCTATTCTCCTTAAACGCCTTCACATTTAAAGCATCTATCTGGTTAGGTTCGTGTTTCTGACTCCAAATAGCTAGCATCAAAAAAGGGAGAGAAAGAGAGAGAGAGGTTACAAATACCAAATACTGGGTAGTAAATGAAGGAGCTATTTTTCCATCAGTAACTGAGAGCAGAGAAAGGACTATAAGCAGAGTGGTTGAGCAGTTGATGCCAGAGAGAAAAAGGAAATGAGCTATAGGACCATAGAATCTTAGTGTTGGCAGAGATTATGGAGTTCATGTGGTCCTACCCTATCATTTTTCAATGAAGAGACTGAGACATGGGGAGTTAAGGGACTTGACTTGCCCTAAACACATAGTTGTTTACTGACAGTCAGGCCAAAAACATTTCCCAGTTCCCAGTCTGGAACTCTGCAGTTCAGCGTGCTATTGCCATCCTCTACCGAAAATTAACACTAACCCAGCCTGGAACAGAGAAGAATTCAGCATCTGTGGGGAACAAGAAACATGATGAATTTTGAGATGGAAATCAGTCTGGGAAAAAGAGAGGGGAAATGGATGATCCTGCTTGGTTGTGACTCATTGGCCAAGCTTGTGCAAGACAGTTTGTGTCCGTTTACTCCCCCGTGCCTTCCCACGAAAAATAATAAAACCTTCGGTTGTTGTCCCCCAGGGTTTATATTTATGCATTCAGATTTGATTTGCTTGGCAAACTCTCCTGCATGCAGGTTATCTCCAGGTATGGATTGGTGGCATTGCTATTGATCCCTGTGATTTACAGGAGCCTAACTTTCCTTCTCTAGCAGTGAAATATGTTCCAGAGTCTTCTCCGTAGGACACTCCTAACTGAAGATCAGATGTAGGTTCAAGATATAAGAATTATCTTCTATTAACCCTTGTATTCTATTAACCTCATGGAGAACTTAGGCAATATAGGGGCCTTTTAATCAGGCTTATGAGTTAGGTGAGATATAGATCTAGAATTTGGAAGCACAGATTAATTTAAAGCAAAAGAGTAGCAAAGAAGATACAATAAAAAACGTCTCAATAGGATTCCCTGTGAAATAGCAGTACAGGTCTTTTAAACCAAATATTTTTCAGAATAGAGCAACCGGAAATGAGAGAATCAGACAGTATGATGAAAACTACAGATGGAATGCTTTGCATGAAAAGTGATTATAGACAAGAGGGGGCTCAGGAGTGGGTAGGCGTGGAGTTGGGAAGGAGGGGGTAACTGAAATAAGAGAAGATAATGCTTGACCAGGTCTAGTAAAATATTCCCTGCCACAACCACTGTTCCATGAAGAGATTGAGCCAAGAGGCCTGAATAAACTAACCTTAAGTTCAGAGTTGCCATTATTGTGGGAGGCATCAGGGAGAGCACATCCGGATTTGTGTTACACAGTAATCACTGCTGGGTGTCAGCATTCATCAGCCAGATGGTCAGACCCACAATTAATCAATTAGGCTGGGATGATCAACTGGACTAAGTTTCCCCTTTGGTAAAAAACCCTCATCATGCGGTCAAGGCCAATAGCACTTTTATCCGGTTGCTTTTGGAGGACCTTCTAAAAATCCCTCTTTTCTTTTTTAGGCTCCTAGTTACTGGACACTGTTAAGCTTCAAGCTGGTTTGACAATATAGATACCCCAAATTGGGACTTTAACATAATAGATTCTCAGCATGCTCTGTGTTCAAGAATAATGTTTAACACACCCAGACAGAAATGAGCGTTTTAAAGCAGCGTTCTCTGAGGAGTGTTACCCAACTCATTTTACTGGATGGAGCCTTCATATGGGTTCCATTCAATCCAGTGGAACAACACTGGAAATGACTCTTTCAGTGGGCACTTATGAAAATATGATAATCAAATAAAAACAATAGCAGTTTATTGAGTGCTCACCATGTGACAGACACTGCTATGATAAGGACTGACAAACACTGATTCAGGCTTTATAAATAATTCAACAAGGGGATAATATTCCATTTCAAAGACAAGAAAATCGAGGCTAGAAAGTTCATCTGCCCAAGGCTGAGCATTTATTTAATAAAGATGTGTTGAAATAATTTAGTACACTCTAGAATGAAAACTAAATAAAATTTACTCTCCATTTTCTTACACATCGTACATATGTATGCATCTCTAAGAGATAACAATTAGGAATGTATAGTGGGTCCTTATTATTCCTTGTCAAAGAACTTTAAAGAAATCTTTTACTAGTGTTGCCCAGCTCTGCAGATCTTATTCTCTTTCCATGCCATTCTTGCTGCACACCATCTGACTTGAGATTGCTTTCTTCCTTATTATGAGGTCATCACTATTATTTACTGATAATTCTCGGTCACCACCTCAATCTCCTTATCCAGATATGGTTCCTCTAAGGTTGTTTCAGATACTAAGATTTTTTCCTTATCCGTTGGCTCATAGGGCAACTTGCCTCCTCCCAAACAAAATGTCTACTACTGACTGATTTTTTTTTTTTTTTATGTTGAACCTTGTTTTTCCCTCTGATATTTTATTTTCCCTCTCCTCTTGCTGTATTACGGCAACACTGGGAGAGATGTTGGAAAGTCCTGTTGGTGGGAAGTCTCTATTTCTGACAGACATCTATGCTGACCCCATTGAGTAGAAGTACGGACACCATGTCATATGTCCTCTGCGTTTGTCACTGAACTTGGCCCTCTCTTTTCTCTCAGCTCTTCTCTACTCCCCACCCAAGCTTGACTTAAGGAGTACTTCTCTTTAGCCATTTTGTGACCAGTATTTTACAGGTTATACAAAGACACTATGGACTCAAATGTACGTCTTTGAGATATCAGTCTTTTATCTATAATTACATTCTTTTATGGAGTAGGAGGCTTCTTGTTATTTAACGGCAGGGCTTTGCTTTTATTTGTTCGTTTTGCTACTTACTAAATTGGGAAAGCAATACCAAAATGCCAGGATAGTATATAGGTAACCACTGTTTCTTAAATCAAGTGCAGGAGCACATGGAAAAAAAAAAAAAAAAAAGGTATTCCAGAAATCTTAACGAACCTCTCTTCTCCTCCAGGGCTCTGGCAGTGCCCTTTTTTCCTGCCCGTGGTACTCTGATTTGTTCTTGTTATGTTTGGTAGGCAGCTGTTGGAAGTTTTTCCCTGGCTGCTCCTTTTTCTGCAATCCTACAGTCTTCACCCCCGAGCTGAGGAGGCTCTTTCATTTTGACCTGCAGTATCTCCGTGTATTGCAGAGCCGATCCCTGCCATCTAGACTGCCTTTCTGCTTCATTTTGCTCCTGACCTAACCCCCCCCTGCTATTCCAGGCCTGGCCTCTCATGACCAGAGACTGCTGACTCATCCTGGCCTGTGCCAAGCTGTGCAGTCGCTTAGCGATGTGGACAGGAGTCGAAGGACTAGAATGAGATCACTGAACTCATTTCACTTGTTGCTTACGGTACAGTCCAGCATGAGCTGGAAATGTAGGAACCTCAGCCTCCCGAGCAGAAAGAGTAAGTAGATTACACACACTGCATCACCAAGTCCTCAACAAGCAGTGGTCGGGCGGTGGGTGGGGGCCGGCTTTCTCATGGCCGTGGCCAGGGCATTCCGGTTCATCAGGAGTGTTCCTTTGTCCTCTCTTCTTCCTCTCCTCCACAGTCGTACCCTCCCCCGCTTCCCTGAACTTCCCTTCTGAAAATGTCCGGATGGCACAGCAATGATCTGGGCAGAAATGAAATTTTGCTAATAAGCAGGCTCTGCAAGAAATCCTGGAACAGTGACACTGTTGAAACTGCTTCGTTTAGTTTGTCTACTGGGAACTCACATGAACTTCCCAACAGAATTCAAGGGGATGAAAAAATCATTTTTGGTGGGTTTTTTTTTTTTTTTTTCTTCTTGATTCTCTTTTTCTTTCTGTTTTGAGGGAGGTAGTTTCAGGAGACATGGCTGCATTCTGGTGTGGTGTAAAGTTTTCCGTCGGGAGACAATAATGTACATTCCTCTGGCAGGACGGGATGGGGTTTTTTTGTTTCTCTTGCTGTTGTTTATTTATAAGACATTTCCTCTCAGTTAGTGGAAGTTAGATCGTAAGAGGCTCCAGTGATTTTCCTTCCACCTCCCCTCCCTAATTTCTGTGCTTCAGCACTCTGGAACACTGTGAACTCGACAAACTAATCAGAGCAGGGAGCTTAGCAGCCAGGCCTGGACACTCTCAAGAGACTGTGCTGATTCTCAGTCGACACTCCTTGGATCAGGAACCACAGTCCTGGTGAGTGGTGAGGTTCCAGAATTTGATGTGTCAAGGATTCTATTCTTGGTGTCTCTGAGGCAGTCAGGAAATAAAGGGTGTTTAAAAAAAAAATACAATTTTTTTTTAAAACGCTACCAAACAATCCAACGGAATGATGAAGATTTTCATGTGCACAGCTGAGAGCACTCTATAGACAATGGCAGAGCCTTGAGTCCATTCTCAGGAGGATCCTGCAGGCATAGGCTTCATGCTGCCACCGATGGATGTCAGCCTTGACATGCCTAGCAAACATGCTTGTGGGAGGAGGAAGGTAGGTGAGTGTGTGAGGGCAGGGAGGTAGCTTTTGGGGTGGTAAGAGGGGAAAATGAAAGTGGGACTCATCGTTCATTTGGAGTTTCTCTCTACCAACTTCACGCATCTCTATTCTGGACATTTACATTCTGCTCAGAATACTTACATCCCCAGCTAAGCAGGAGAGAAAAGTAGATGCATAGCAAAGGAATATTGTTAATACTGTTCTTCTAAAGATCGCTTTGCTAAGAACTGGTTGCTTTTAAATGTGAGGGAACCTCCCCTTACCCGACCTTTGGAAAAAATTATTTGTCACACCCTCTTCTTTATTCTTCTGCATTCAGGGTATCGGATAGAAGAATGCAGTGAGAATCCTTATTTGGTTCCAGGGAAATTTATCATCCTGACATAGGAAAACTAGATGACTGTCCTCACAGTATTAAACCCAAATATAGTATTGTCCTCAATATAAGGGACTCTGATTGAGTGTGCTCTGGGAAGTTGTCGAAGGAATGGAATGGGGGTGGTTGCATCCTGTTTGATATGAGACTAGCAGAGGAGTCAACAGACAAGCTTTCAGAGCCAATGTGTGCCTTCCATGTCCTTACTGATAACTCACACTCTCCCCGGAAGTGGAATTTCAGCTGGAATGTGTATTTGCCCTTTGCCATCAGGTACCTACTTAATTGCTCTTTCAAAGGTATTTGATCTTACCGTGTTTACTTGTCTTCCTTCCAGTTTCAAGAATCTGGAGTATTCCAAAATATTAAAAGTGGAAAAAACAAAAAACAAACAAACAAAAAAACATGGTGGCCGTAAAAGCATTTGAATGTGTGGCAGCATCTGAAGTAAATTGCTTTTGGAAAGAGGGAGGAGTCTTTGATGTCCCCAATATGGTTCTCATAGGCTAAAACTTCCAAGAACCACAACCCAGCCTAAGGGGCACTTACTCGATGTTCTTAAATATTTGGAAAGAAATGCTGTTTTATTGTTTTAGTTGTCCTTGCTGTTAACACATTGCCAGGAGATTCCTCCTAAAAGTCGAAAATGCTTTAGCAATAGTTGATTTTACATTGAACCAGATGTGTATTGTGTGTGCCTGTTGTGTGCACTCTTGTCCAAGCTAGTGTAGTCATCCAACATATTACATTGGTACTTAGCTTTGGAATTTTGTTTGCTACTCTGGACGATTCAGATTCTTAACTCACGCATGCTCATACATCCCAAGTTCTCTGCAGAGACTTACCCCTGCTACAGCCTCATCAAGGTCTTTCATGACCTCTAGAACAGTTTCAGGTTCATATCACAATACCTATAATTTGTGAGGCACCTCAAATTCCTTACCTGTCATCGTGATAGGAAGCGGTCTCCACGTTTTATTAGGATGAGTATGATAAACATTTTACGTAACGGTAAAGTTTGCCTATTTCAGTTAGACATGCTAGTTATGGCCATACTATTTGTATGTTATAATGTCTCTTGGGGATTTTCCATTAGTCTCTTGTTTTCTAAAGAAAGAGGTTGAATAGGAAGATGGTGTTAAAATTTTTTAAATATAGTATAAAAAATGTAACTAGCTTTTAGCCCATTACCACGAAGGCCGACGTAGGAGGTTGTGCTTCACTCAGTTAACACTCAGGCTGTAGACTCCCAGGAGAATTATCTGTAAGTCTCTGGTAAGGATGTCTATTAGGACTACACCAAAGGCAGGCTGGATCTCCAACACTTTGAAAACATTTTGATGTTGAAATCTCCTACATCTAATATATAAAAATTTCTGAGCATCTTTAAGCAGAGAATAGGTAAACATGAATATCTAAGAGTGTATTCCAAGAGATTACATTTTAAAAATATAACCTGCCAGAGAGATTTTCCTTATTATTGGCAAGATCTGGAGGTCCACATGGCTGTGGAAGAATTCAACTCCTAAGTTGGAGTATATAAGTCCATATATGATCAGTACATCTCTGAAAGGCAAGATAATGATGTGTTTCTTTCTGCTTAAATTGTTTTATTAATACATGATTTTTTCAATGCCTGTTTATAAACCTTAATAGTGTACTATCAGTATTTCAGGTTTTCAGTGCTCATCTCAAAAAATTATTTCATTTCAGAGGATGCACGCTGTAGAATGAATATTTTCCTGCGTGTACATTTTAGCTGTAAGTGCTTCCTGCATGTTACATTCATTTAATTAGGCAGTCACAATTAGACAAAGATGACATCGCTAAATAACAGAATTATGATTACACCAATAAGAAATTATTCTTTCTTATTTATATAAAAATGCTTTTTGATATTTATGATTCCTTTAAAAAGGTACGTATTTTCAAAAGTTAAAAAGAAGGGGTTGATTTATTGTATCATGTGTCTGTGTACATACGTTAGCTTATAAGTGCATATATACTTACATAATGACAAAGCTATACTCAACTATTGAAAATATGACCAACTACTAGGTAGGCTTACTTGCCTTTAAATTCAATCAGACGTTTTGCAAATTGACCTTAAGTGAAATGTAGTTGACATTTTATCACATTGACAACACAGAAATTTTGTACAAATATTTATGAACAGTATCTACAAAAGGTGAGATTTGGTTAGCCAATAAGATTAGTGATTATCCTTCATCAAATATACATGTTAGATTATAAACCTAAATTCTATTATGCACAATCTCAAAATAATAATTGCTGTATGTATAGAGTAGTTAAAATTAAGTAGAAAGAAATTAAATTGCTATTAATTATCTTAAAATTGAGGCTGTATTTAATGAATTCGCTTTATTTTGTAAGAATGAATTTATATACAAATGTCCCAATTTATTCCAGTTTCTCAGTTACTTAGCTGTACGCTAAATACTTTGATGCTGTATTTACGTATCAGCATCGGCAACTATAATTTTCCAGACACCTTTTCAAGACACCCAGCCATATCACTTCCTTGCCGAGTCACACTTGTTTCTCTGAAGCTGTTTATGATAACCCAAACTAAAAGTTAATTTCCCCTTCAGACATGGATAGCATTTTAAAAATCTCTGGGTTTCAGTGGGCACTTATCATATACCGCTTTGAACTGGAGTTTTTTGTAGGTATGAAACTACAGGTGGTTAGAAGGCAGGTAGTGCATTTTATGTTTATCTCCCTCCCAACCAATGTCAAATTGCTCAGTCTGAGTGGAGGATCAGTGAGTAGGTGATTAATGAATATCTGTATGTCAGTGCATTGACAGTGTATATGTTTTATTTATCATAACAAAAGGAATATGTCCAGAAAACAAATCAATAGATTCTTCTCTATCTGAACCCCTTAAATTCCCATATCAGATCTTCCAACTCGCTAACAGCACCTGCCGCTGTCTGCCAAGGTACCTTCTCAAATTTCCACAATGCACAGGGCATTCCTGACAGAACATGGGGTCTTGAGCTTGCAGTCATTCCTTTCGTTTTCCAGGACTCTTGAGGGTGGCAACATACCAGCTTGTTGTGCTCATGCAGTCTGAAAGGACCAGACTCACCTAGAATGTATCATATTGACCAAAGTCCTCTCCAGCTTGCCAGTTAATCACTTACAGTCAATCGGTGGTTCTTCCTTTCCTCAGACCCAACATCTAAGGAGCTCAGGCTGATTATCAGATGCGGACAGGCATGAAGACTGCCTCTGAATGCCCTGTGAACTAGGCAGTGGCAGGGGGGTGGGCAGACAGCACAGTAAAGACAGGAGCAAAAGGACAATCATTCGCCCTATCTTAAGGCACTAGTTAAGTGCCCCTTTTTAGGCAAATAATAGCTGAAAATAGCTAAGTGCAATTGTTCCTCATGGATGAGTAGAGAAATTGGTGGGATTTCTTGGTGCTGCTTCAGTCATTAAGCCACAGGACACTAAGGCACCGTTAGTGCTCTGGGGACGTCAGAGGAGAGAACTTCCAGCACCTTACATGTCACCTGGCTGACATGAATTACATTCAGGGAGTAACTTCATATACTACAAGCCAACCCTGATAAACAATAACTGAAAGAAACAAAGATATTGTGTGGAATGTGCTTTAATTTAGCCTGTTGTCAATGGTCAGTCAACTTGGCAGTCCGCAAACTATATCTAATTCTGTCTCCTACACCGAGTTCTTTTCTAGAGCTTCTAATATATATAAATGAAATGTACTAGTTTCATTTGCATCTTTTTATTTTCCCTACTTATCCTTTAGTAAACTGAATTCCTAGATGTAAGCAGCCAGAGGGAGAAAGAGAAGTGGTTCACATAATGGATAATTAACCCTTGAACAATGGAAAGTTAACTCTCCATAGACATGCCAAAAACTGAAATGTTTTG